TATATATATATATATATAGTCTGTGGCTTAAATTTCTCGTCTTCGTTGGAAAATGGGTGACAAATGAAAGTATTTTGAAATGTGCAAACTTTAAGGAATAGGAAATACTAAAAAAATATAGGACTTCTGAAGCATATTTTTTTTTAAATTCTCTTAAGCAAAGTGGATACTACAAAAAAATTAACAAGTTTAGAGAGAAGCAAAGAGTTGATTTTGTCTAGAAGAATAACTGCGTCAATCATTTGCATCTACTTACCTCTATTAAGTCAGTGGCTTCGATTGTCATAGACTGATAAGGATTTCATAATTTCAAAGACGTAATAAGGTCAAACTAATTATACTTGTGATCTACTGAAGATTCCTATGTATCACCAAAAACTGATTTAGATTATGCTTGCCTGAACTTTCGAAAAAGATTAGTTGAAAATCAATTTAGTTAGTTTGTTGCAAAAGTTTTTAACGAAGATAAATTTCTTAAATTAGAAAATTATCTCCAGACAAAAAACACATTTAAAGTAAACTCAATCACAGAACTTAAGTTTTTAATTTGTAAGTCTTATCCATAAAATGTAAGAAAAAGCTTTCCAGTCATAGTTTCCACTTGTATCGACTTATCTTCGTGAGTCAGGCTTCTAAATTTCGTAACAAATAAAACAATTTAAAGAAATTGATTGAAAGTTGGCCTGAGTTTTGTCTTCGCATGCACTACTCCGTGTCTTGAGAAATAACGACGAAAAAAAAAATCCCAGGCACCCCAACTAGTTAAATAAAAAGGGACAAAAAGCAATGTAGCTAGACATGGTAATACTTTATTTCTAATAATATAAATATTATTAGTTTATTTCGCTTAAACAAGTAGTTAATTAGTAACAACATTAACAAGAGCAACAAAAAAACATTGGTATAAAAATAGTGTCTTGGTTTTGTTGTTTAATTTCAAAATGTGTCAAGAAGTCATCGAAATCTTAAAATACATATATATGCACCACTTATCAATAATGGAAGGTTCTTGAAATTTTTTTGAATTTTTGAATTACTTGGAGGATGATTTTGTTACTTTAGATGTAATTAGTAAATGCGATTTTTTCTACTTAGCAATAAGGTTCACAACTTTCAGAGCTTTCATGGACAGAAAATAAATTACAAAAATAAACGATTATTTTTGTACACCTGTTTGGCAGAAAATCTACCAATAATTTTGTAACTTTAGCGACTACTTTGATTATTATTTGCAATAACTGCGTAGAATTTCATAAACCTAGCTAGAATATTTATGGAGATACGGACATTTCTATTGAAAAAAAAAACAAGTTTTTGGTCTCAGGTATTTTTGATGTAACTTCAAAAATATTCACTAAAAATAAGCAAAATTTTGTGAGCATATAAAAAATAATTAAAAAATTATTTTTTTTTCTGAAATTTGAAATGAATTACGCAAGATATGAGTATTTAAAGTAGTTCTTTTATACTGCGCAAGAGCGAAAAATTTTAAGTATTTTTTATAATTTTGTTATGAATCATATTTGTCAACTAATAAAAAAAGGTTATTTTGAATATCTTCAAAAATAAAAGAGTTTCAAGCAATTTCCTAAGTAGTTTTTATACCTTTCAAAAGAGAGCTCAAAATGATAAAGGGTTTTCTACATATTTTATTTTATACCAAGAGACAAAATTTTATAACAGATACTAATACCTTGCAATAATTTACAGACACCAAACTGCGATAGTACAAGGAATGAAAACAAGCGAAGGAAAAAATTATTTTATGGGGGATGATCCCTTTTAATGCCGATGTGATTTTTTATAAATCTTGTATAACAGTGCAAAATGAAATTTGTGGGAAAACCCTTTTTATTTTGAGTCTTCTTTCAGAAAATACTAAAACTGCTTCGAAAAATGCTTAAAACTCTTTAAATTTATAAGATATTCAAATCAGATTTTTTTATTGGTAGCCAAATACCATTTACTTCAAAATTATAAAAAAAGATTTTCAAATTATTTTTCGTGCATGCGCATGCACGAAATCGAAAACTATACGAAAACTACTTGTTTCAAATGTTTAATTCTGCGTGCATGTGCAGAATTACTTTAAAAACTCATATCTTGTTTGTATCTCTTAAAATAATATTTTGCAATTATACTTAATTGCTCCAAATTTTTTATTTAATTTTATTGCATGTTTTTAAAGTTATACCAAAAACACGTAAGGCCAAAAAAATAGTTTTCTATAAAAATGTCTATATCTTTCTAAATATTCAAGCAATGTTTATAAAATTTTATGCAGTAATTCAAAATAACAACCAATGTTATCGGTATAAGTTTACCAAAATATTGCTTGATTTTTCTGGTATAGGATGTTCAAAAACACTTATTTTCCTCCTTAATCTATTGTCGGTGGTCCCTGAAACCCCTAACTTTCTTGCTAAGTATGAAGCATCGCATGTACTAATTACATCAAAAGTAACAAAGAAATCCTCTAAGTATTTCTTGAGAGATTCAAAAACTGAAAGTGTCTCTTCCATTATTGTAGGGTAGTGTATANAATTATGAACACCTCAAAAACCTTATATTTTAGGAAGGATTTATATATATATACAGGGTTATTCATAATTCCCGCCGGGGTTTCGAAGCGTTATAGTAAAAGAAAAAAGAAGACGAATATGAAAAAAAGAAACATAGGAAATTATTCCGAAACTATTCAAGTTTTACTTACATACATTACAGGTGCTATGTGTGAACCCTTGGTCACACAGCATACATCAATGCGATAGTCCAGTTCCTGCCCGGAGGGAATTATGAATAACCCTGTATATATATCATGGCGAATCGAATTGACGCAAAAACGATTATTATTCCGCAAATTATATTGAGACGCAAATTCAGAATTTTCTTTGTTTTTGATGAAACTGTTTGCTGTGAAATTGCTTTGAGTGAACATAAGAATATTACTGAGTCTGAGAATATTCTAACTCTGAAAATTATTTTTTACGCTTATTTATGAACACGAGTCTCATAGTAAACTTGATGTTTTATATCGGTTAACATAATATTGAGTAAACCTGAGAGAATAATTAGTCTGTTATCACACGGAAAAAAACCCGAAAAATTAGAATTAAAAAGAAGAGTACTATTCCCTTCACCATCCCGTCATACGGGATGGTAAAGGGGGTACGGAGTAACTGGCTTTAGTATCAAAAGAAACATGTTGCAAATTTTTTATATCCCTTTACGGTCAATAAATTTAAGTAAATTTTAACTTTTTTCATAAAATAAAAGTCGTTCTATACTATTACAACATTAGCAAGCGCGATGCGAAATATAAACTTCAGTGTGCACTGAGATTACTGCTGATTGAGAAAGGTGTTTTGTTGAATAATTGAGAGCAAGCGTTTCGTCAAAAATCAGATGATTTTC